TCGCTTCCAGGACGGTCCCGCGGAGCCCCGAAACGGCCCAAGGCCGCTCCAGAACAGCCCATGAGCGCTGAAAGAGGGCCCAAGGTGGCTTCGAGACGGCCCAAGATGCCCCCAAGGCGCCTCAAGAGGCCCCCAAAGGGACGTCCCAAACGCCGAAAGCGTCCCGCTCCCGAAGGCAAACGTATCTTTGCAACAGGTTCGCTTCTGCAGTCTCCACGGCGTCCAGGACGGCTCAAGGGACCCCACGGAGCGCCCCAGAAAAGCCCACGTATGCTTGGTTTGGGGAGGAGGAGGAGGAGGAGGAGGAGGAGGAGGAGGAGGAGGAGGAGCAGGAGGAGGAGGAGGAGGAGGAGGAGGAGGAGGAGGAGGAGGAGGAGGAGGAGGAGGAGGGAGGAGGGAGGGAGGGAGGGCCCCCCCAAAGCGGCCCCCGAACACCTCCACGACGGCCCCCGGACGGGCCCCAGCGGGTCCCCCAACAGAGGGCTGCCGAGAGAGAGCCCCCCGTGGAGGCCACGGGCGGCCGCCGTCCGAGGGGCCGAGAGGAGCCCGCGAGGGCCACGAGACCGCCCCATCCCCCAGGAGAGGCCAGGAGGGCCCCACAGAGGTTAGGAGGCAACTTTTTTATTTTTTTTCCACCCGCCGAGCGTTACGACGGATTTCGTTTTTGTTGGAGGGCGACGAGGGACAGAGGTTAGGAGGCAACTGCTGCGAGGTTTTCGTCGGAACGATTACGGAGGGCCCCACAGAGGTGGACTGCCCACCAAACCACCCCAGCCCAGCCCGAGGGCCCGAATTCGACCCGAATTTCGGGTTGGGGGGGGGGGGGGGGTACGGGTTCCACGGGCTTTTTCGATGTTCCCCGACCCCCCCCCCCACTGGAAATGGAGGGCAAATTGAGGCCTTCGGGTTGGGTTGGGGTGGTCTGGTAGGTGGTGAGAGGTTAGGAGGCAACTGCTGGGAGGTTTTCGTCGGAAAGATTACGGAGGATGAAACCCCATTGGGGGGCTGTCATGCCCCTCGACGGCCCATCGGGGCTTCTGGGGGACCTCTGGGGAGCCTCACGGGGCTTCCTGGAAGCCTCTTGATGGCCTCCGAGGGCGTCCTAGGAGCCTCTCAGGCCGGAGACCTTGAAATGTCGCGCTCTTCGGGCCCTCTTGGGTCGCTCTTGGGGCTCTCTTGGGGCGCTCTCGAGGCCCTCTTAACTTATCTGGGGAGCCTCCTGGGCCGTCTCTGGGCTTTCTTGGGAGCCTCTTCGGCCATCTTGGAGCGATCTGAAGGGCCTCTGGCGCGGTCGGGGACCGTGGGGAGGCGGAACATGGGAGAGCGCAAGAATGCTTCAAAAACCACTGGAAAATGCATGATTTTCGGCTTCTGGGGCCCTTTGGACGGGCGTCTGGAGGCGCTCTTGGGGCGTTTTGGCGGCGTCGTCGGCCGTCCTGAGGCCATCTTCGGCGTGTCCGGGGCCTGGGAGGTTCCGTGAGCCCCACAAAACCACCCTTTTGGGCCGTCTTGGGCCCAATTGGGCCTCTCTTGGGCTGTCTTGGGGCTCCTCAAACGCGCCTGGGGCACTGCGAAGACGAAGCAAGGGAGTATGCTGAAAATGTACGTTTTACTAAGGGAACGGGCCGATGTTTGCCTCTTGAAGGCCCTTTTGGGGCCCTCTTCGGCCATCTTCAAGCCACCTCGGGCCCTCTTGCGCCTCGCTGAGGCTGTCCTGGGGCCGTCTAGGGGGCCCTGGGAACTCGGAAATCATGTTCCTGGAGAGGCTTCCGAGAACATGATTTCGTGGAGTTAGACAGGGCGACATATTGAGTCCGCTTCTGTTCAACGCAGCAACTGATGTTATCATGCGCCGGTGGAAGATGCGTTTGCGTGCTGAACACGGTGTCCACCTTTCTGTTGACCCCTCGGAGAGGCTGACTGACCTCATACTGTTTGCAAAGTCTCTTCGAGAGGTGGAGGACATGACCACGCTGCTTGTGGAAGAGTTTGACTGCGCGGGGCTTGTTGCAAATGGCTCGAAGACGAAGCTCTTGACAACGGATAGTGCTGTTTCTTCGGGGCAAACGCCCTTGCTTGTAGATCTCGCGGGCATGTTTGTGGAGGTCATCAAGACAGGCTCTTCTCATAAGTATCTTGGAAAGTCGTTGCCGGGAGATCTGGCCTCGAGGGGGCAGAGAAATCTAGATCATCGCCTGGCGTGCGCATGGATGCGATTCCACGAGATGGGCCACACTTTGCTGAACCACAAGATCCCAGTCAACTTGCGTCTGAGATTGTTCAATTCTGTAGTGAGCCCAACCGTTCTGCACAGTCTTTCAACAACCCCGCTGACATCATCAGAGCTGGAGAGACTCGACGGGGTACAACGAAAGATGATGAGACGTATTGTGGGCTGGGTGAGGCACGACGAAGATGACTGGCATGAGACAGGGCATCGCATGAAAGAAAAACTGAAGAACGCCTGGGAGAATACCCGCGTGGCGGTCTGGAGCCAAGCGCGAGACAAGCAACGGCGAGGGTTGCTAGAGAAAGTGACCAAACGGTAGGCCGGGATAGTCTGTCGCGTGTATCGCTGGTCGGCACGGCCAACTGTACCGGGCCATCCTGTTTACAGGGAGCGAGGGCGTCCGGCATGCAGGTGGACGGACGGCGTCTGAGAGATGGCATTGTCGCCTGTGCATGTTTGTCAGTATTTGTATGTGCTTATGTGTGGTCGTTGTGTCTCGGCGTGTTACATGTGAGCTTTGCATGATATTTTTCTTCCCGTGTCCTGTGCAGGACCGGCTTCGTAGCCGTGCGGGATCTGTCTGTCTGTCCTCTTGGGCCTCCCTGAGGCCGTCTTGGGAGCCTCCTGGGCCAGTTTCGGGGCCTCTTGGGCTGTCTTGGGGGTTCTGTGAGCCCCACAGGCCGACCCTTTTGGGCCGTGTGGGGCCCTTCGTGGGCCGTCCTGGAGCTCTCTGGGGCTGTAGTATTGGGGCCCTCTGGGGCGCGTCCTGGGCCGGACCGACAGCGAAAACAAGCAATAGGTTAAAAATATACGTTTTATGGTGCAATTTTGGTCCCTTGGGGCTCTCTTTGGGGTCCTATTGGGGGTCGCTTGGAGTGTCTTGGGGGCTTCTGAAGCCGCCTTGGAGGCCATGTTGGGCGTCAAGGAGCGACCTTCGGGCGTCCCGGGACTGTTCTGGAGCCTCTGGGGGCCTCCTTGGCGCCTTCTGTGGGTCTTCTGTGAAGCCCCGGGGCTCCCCGAGGGCCCCGGGGCCTACATTTGCCCCTTCGTGGACCGTCCTGGAGCTCTCTGGGGCTGTAATTGGGGCCCTCTGGGGCGCGTCGTGGGCTGGACCGACAGCGAAAACAAGCAATATGATAAAAAATACGTTTTACGAAAGGAATGGGGCTATTTTGGCCCCTTGGGGCTCTCTTTGGGGCCCTGTTGGGGGTCGCTTGGGGTGTCTTGGGTCTTGGGGGCTTCTGAAGCCGCCTTGGAGGCTATGTTGGGCGTCTGGGAGCGACCTTCGGGCGTCCCGGGTCTGTTCTGGAGCCTCTGGGTGCCTCCTTGGCGCCTTCTGTGGGTCTTCTGTGAAGCCCTGGGGCTCCCCGAGGGCCCCGGGGCCCACATTTGCGGCCGTCTTGGGCCTTTCGTGGGCCGTCCTGGAGCTCTCTGGGGCTGTATTGGGGCCCTCTGGGGCGCGTCCTCGGCCGGACCGACAGCGAAAACAAGCAATATGTTAAACATATACGTTTTACGAAAGGAATGGGGCTATTTTGGCCCCTTGGGGCTCTCTTTGGGGCCCTGTTGGGGGTCGCTTGGGGTGTCTTGGGGGCTTCTGCAGCCGCCTTGGAGGCCATGTTGGGCGTCTGGGAGCGACCTTCGGGCGTCCCGGGTCTGTTCTGGAGCCTCTTGGGGCCTCCTTGGTGCCTTCTGGCGGTCTTCTGTGAGGCCCCAGGGCTCCCCGAGGGCCCCGGAGGCCACATTTGTGGTAGCGGCGCCGGCCCCGGGCGCCCGGACCCGGTGCGCCGTTATATGTATATGCGTGTGCCCCAGGGGGCCCAAATACATCCATATCCACCGCCTGTCGAGGCCTCCGAAAATGGGTCATCCAGGCGGTGGTCATGTGTAAATCCCAGCCTCGGATCCAGCCGGGCTCGCTCCCGACCCCCACCTTGGGCTACCCCCCCTCTCTGCGACAACCCTGGGGTGAGGCCAATCCGCTCTGACTGGAGAGAATCATATTTGGCGGGCACTGTTCGCATGACGATCGCCGGTGGTGGCACCGAGGCCAGTGATCAGACAATGTGACGTTTAGAGGGCTCCTAGATGGGGTCGGACTTGATGGGGTCGGAGGATCGCGCCGCATCGCCGATACATCGGCGATGCATCGGCGATGCATCGGCGACGCATCGGCGGTGCACCAGCGATGCATCGTCGACGTCGGCGATACATCGGCGACTTCGACGTGAAGCAAATTGGACTTCACATCGAGCCGCATCGGCGATGCATCGGCGATGCGGCGCAATCCTCCGACCCCATCTACTCCGACCTTATCTAGGAGGCCTAATACATTGTCTTCAGACGCAGCCAGGACGAGGAGAACGTCGGGCGAGGAGAAATCGAGAATCTCTGAAATCCGGCGGCTCCAGAGCATGTGTCAGGCGCCGCGGCCTTCTCACAGCGTTCCGGAACGCTCTGATCGGCTACACGCAAGAGTGACCCTAGGTAAGAGTGACCTTTGGTGCGCGGCTTTTTGGGACCGCGGGGGGGCCAAAGACAAGCGCTCGAGCCGCTGCTACCGCTTCTCTTTCGGCTATCTGGGGGGCCATCTGCGCCCGCAGCAGAGGTCACTCCGGCGAAAGGCCACTCTTGCGCCCAGTCAATCTGGGAGCGTGCCGGAACGCTTTGGAAGGGATATCTCATCGTCCTGGCCGCGTCCAACGTCTTTGCTGCGTGCTGCTGTGAGGAGCCCAAAAAAGCGGGATGCCGCGCGAGCGCGCGGCCGGTCCTCCAGTATGGTCTTGAAGGACTTTACGAGCGGCTCCATCCCGTCGAAGCGGTGCTGCGACAGCGACGTGAACTGGGGCGGCAAGCAAGGCAACAACTTCGGCAACCACATGTCGGGAGTGTTGCTTTCCGACATGCTCCGAGTTCTGTCGTCTTCCAGGTCAGGAGAGGAGTTCAGGGCAAGCAGGTGAGCGGGATGCGATGGCAACGGCACTGGCATGCAGATCTGCGCATGAAAAAACAAGCACCCACGGAACACAGGGGCCAACGGTAACTACTGAGGGGGATGCACATGGGGTGCAGAAGCCAAACGTCCTCTCGCTCTCTCCCACCTGCCATCGTGAATATGAGCGGGTCCTGAGTGGACTATTGTTGGTCGATTGGCCACGATGGCGAGCCTCTACATGCAATCTTCACCCGGATTTGCAGCAAGGTGGGGACGCCCACAACTTGTCCGGTGGACGTGTTTTAGAGTCGCGCTCACGCCTGCGGCTTGCTGCGCTCCTCGCCTGGGACCGCGCACTGGCAAAATCATTGTTGGATGGGGCACGCGCAGTGGGGACAGTGCACTGGATGTTGCATAGGTTTCGGGGGGGGGGGGTGGTAGGACACAAATGGCCCAGGGTGCGCAGCTATGTGGGAGCAACGTGTCGTGCACTCTGCAGTTGCTTCTGCCAGCGATGCCGAGGGGTGCCAACAAGAACGGTGAAAGACAGTGGTCCTACGCACGGCACAGCAAAGCCGTCAGCGCAGAAAGCCACATGGAGCACTGAGGGTCCACACTCTTCCCTGCGCGGGCACATTGAGCGCAGCTGTCCACGAAGTCGAAGTTCTATCGATGCCTTCAGTCGCGCGCACGACTCATGCCGACAACCAGTGACAGCGTTTTTACGGCTGCGAAGGTCAGCAGAGGACGACGTGTCTCACATCTCTGCTTTCAGACGCCCTTGGACTGACATGCCGCCATACGGGCAGGCAGGCGAAGAGGAGAGAAGAGCAAGGAGGAGGTAAGACGAGCCGGAGAAGACACTCACAGATCCACTGCTCCTGCTGCGGACGCCAGGCTGTTAAGTTTGCTCCTAAACTGAAATCACGTGTCCTGAATTTTGCGATTTGCCTTTGCCTCTCCAATCCTGCGCCCGTTGTGCTATCTACTAGGGGGCCCAGGCCACCAAAAGACGCCACTTGGAGGGGTGCCCGTCAAATTCCTGGCTGGCCTAGGTCGCCCTAAGATTCACATAGGACGCAACCGCGCGACCCCAAGACGACCGAACGTTTCCCACAGCTGCCTCGACGATGGCGCAGAAAAGCCACAAGACGCCCCCGAGAGGGCAAACACACATTGGAAAACCATACAGTATTCGGCCTGACCTAAGGAACGATAAATAGGGTACAGAGCCCCTTTGTTTCCAAGTAAGTCTACGGAGTCCGAAGGAACACCAGGGGGGCTCGCCGCCAAAAGGGTGGCGGAGAGCATGCAGACCAAAGGAACGCCCGAGCCCCTTCTGAAAAGCAGGTGTTCCCTATTCAAGTCGGACCCTGTACAGTTTTCAGTGTGTCTCACCCGTCCAGTGGCTTGCCCCCGACGTGTGGCGCGCTCTGGGAAGGCCGAGGTTTCCTTCCGACGGCTCCCGCCAGCCTTCCGCCAGCGGAGCCGCCCACACGACAACGCGCGGCCCCTTCTGGAACGCCTCGTGCCCTGCTCCTACCCCCGACGCGCAACGCAAATCGCCCCGAGAGACTTCCCCCCCCAGACGGGCCCACGGTGAGGCCCGGAGTCTCCGAGATGCCGCCCGCATCGCACAGGATGGCTCAACGAGGCCCCAAGGGGGCCTCAAGGTGCCCTCGAGATGGACCCCAGGGGCCTCAAGACGCCCCGAGGTTGCCCAGCATGGCCCCGAGAGAACCTCGGTGGCCACAAGATGCCTTCGAGAGGCCCCAAGTTGGCCCAAAATGGTCTCGAAGCTGCCCCAATATAGCCAGGACATGCCTCAGCCTTGGGGGTCGGCGGCAAGGAGCGCAGCTCTTCATATATACACACGACTTGATGAACTTCAGCACAAACGATGACGACCAAACACTACTAACGCACCAGGAAAATAGAAACGCCGCTTCAGATATGACACGCTGAGTCCTAGAGACTGGCGCAGAGCGTACACGCTGCATCCTGATGGCGGCGCAAATGCTGGCGCACGCTGATCAGCCATTGCATGACTGACAAAAATGCACAAAAAGAAAACGGCACTTCGAATCGAACTTCATCTAGTATGAACGAACAACTACGTAGCACCCCACAGTTGCGGATAAGAGTGAGGGGGCGGCGGGGACGTCGGCAGTCTGCGAAACTCTGGAGAAGCCCGCCACAGGAGACTGATTTTTGCAAATTATGCAATGATCCCGGCGCAAACGCCGACTATTTTCCTTAACGCAATGTGGGTGGGTCGCGGGCCGGGCCGCGGGTGGGTCGCGGGTGTGTCGCGGGCGGGTGGCGGCCGGATCGCGGGTGGGTCGCGGGTGGGTCGCGGGTGGGTAGCGGGTGGGTTGCAGATGGGTCGCGGGCAGGATTGCGGGTGGGACGACGACAACAAACAACAAACAACAAACAACAAAGCAGCACCAACAACAGCAACAGCAACAGCAACAGCAACACCAGCAACACCAGCAACAACAACAACAACAACAACAACAACAACAACAACAACAACAATTACTAGCACGTGGGGACACTCCGTTCTCACCAGTGCCAGGGTTTTCATAGGAGGCGGGCAATACCCCCACTTTGTGGGGGGGCCGGTTCAAGCTCTACCAAATTTCCAAACGACTCTTCGCCACCACCCACACCCAGCTTCCCGCCCTATGACGTTCGGACACTTCACTTCGTGGCATGCGGACGACCGTGGCTACTATTCAGGGCCCCGCGGCCGACGACGACGGCGTGCGCGCGCGAAGAAAAAACGAATGTGTCCCGCATGGTATTATTTGACAGGGATGATGGCCCTGGCAGGTGCGCAACCGTTGTTGCAGAAGTTCGAAAAAGTTGCTCGCAAAAGCCCGTTTGACAGAAATGTTTAAAAAGTGTTGGGTTTCCTACGAATCCGCAAGAGCGCGCGGGATGAGATTTTGACATTTTTTTGTTGAAAAACCATTGGTTTTTTGATGTTTTTATGTTAAAATCGCTCCGAACACTAAGCTTTTGGAAGGATTTCGTCTTGCGCGCGCGAATGTCCACTTTACCTTATTTTTTGCAAGGGATTCTTGAAATTTGATTATATTAGAACAAGAAATGTCATTTTATAGTGTTTTTTGCAAGGGAAAACGGATTACAACAAAACAACCGGATCTGGATCACATCGTTTTACTGAGGCTTCCTCACGAAAATGATGAAAATGTAGCTGCGGCCTAGGCGGCGCAGGGGGGGCGCGCACCAGGGGGCCCAACAATAATTATTCTTTAGAATAAATAATGTTCAACAACAACAACAACAACAACAACAACAACAACAACAACAACAACAAACACAACACTAATCATTTCAAGACTGTTCGCTCCTATCTGATCGCGTGCCAGTCAACACGTATATCCCAAACCCTCGGTACCCGCACTCTTCGTCTTCGATCGTACCCCCTCGGGGGTATATCTTCCTTACCTGCCACGTGCATTTAGTGCAGCGTCTAGGCAGGGAAATAGAGGACGGATAGAAGGGGGAGGGAGAAGGATGGAGCACGAGAGAAGTTAGCATGAGGGGGGGCTAGACCGTATGCCTTTGGCTGATTCCAGGTGCCTGGCCCCATAGCCGAGGCGGCCGGAGCGCACATGGCATGGATGGCCGCGGGGCCCAGCTCGGAGGCACCGGCGCCGGTGCCTCGCAGCGCGGCTGGTGCGCGCGCCGCAGCTGGCCGACTCGCCTCCGAGCTGCAGGCCGAGATCGAGCGCCTTCGGGCGCGGTCGGCGGCGCGGCGCGGTCGCCGCAGCTGGCCGCCTTCGGCCGCGCCGTCGGCGCGGCGCGGTCGCAGTGGCGGTCGCGCGCCGCCGACGCCCCGCGCTTTGCGGGCGCGAGGCGCCCCGCGCGGCTCGGCTGGCGCGGAGCGTCGCGCTCCACGCCGAGGCGTGCCCTGCTGCTGGGGCGCCGTGGGAGGCCTGGCGAGGCGCGCCGCGCGGCCCTCCGCTGGGGGCCGACGGCGGCGCGGAGCTGAGCGTCCTCGACGCCGAAGACCTCCGTCCTTCTGTACGGGGGCTCGTCTTCGCCCGCCAGCGAGGAGCGCCGCCTCTCCCCATCACGGGTGGCGTCGCGTGGTCTGCGGAGGAGCTGGAGGTGCTGTTCGCGCAGAGTCCTGGTGAACAAGTTCCCCTTGTGTCTTCGAGGTCGCGCCTGCGTGCGATCGCTGCTGCTGCGTTCCTTCTGCAGGCGTCTGTGTGGGAGCCCTTGCCTCCCTTGGAGGCGGGCAGGCAGCTGCGTGCGGGCGCCGCGGCTTTCACCCCGCAGGGCGCTGTTTGGAAGCCCCTGGAGAAGGGCACGCGCTGTTTGTGCGGCGCCGTGGCCTTCTCGAGCATCTCCGAGTCTGTCGAGACCGTGAGCTGGGAACCACGCCGCCGGCCGCGGGCGCCCTGCCGCTGTCGGGAGGCATGAGACGCCCGCGTGCACGCATGCTGTGGGGAAGACCTCGGGAGCAGATCTTCATGCAGGCAGGTCTATAGCTCTTCTCGTGTGCTGCACCTGATGGAGGTGGTCCGGCCTCTGGCCTTGGAGGCCGCCCTCCAGCTTGCCATGCCGAGCAGTCAAGGCCCGCGAGAAAACTCGCATCTCTGGGACGAATTCCAACAAGCTGGACGTCATCCGTGCTCGTGAGGAGTTCGCCGCGTGGAGGGCCCGCCCGTCGGCGCGGGCCCTGCGCGCGAGGAGCCGCGGCCGCTCGTGCGTCGGGCGCGCGAGACTGGACGAGGCGGCCTTCGTCAGAGAACGCGGGCGGGCAGGAGCTGCGGAACTGGAGGTCGCGTCTTTCGGAGAGGGCCGTGGGCCCGAAGTCACGGCCATTTGTGCGTCGGCGCGCTCAGGTGGAGGAGAAAACTCGCTTCATCGTGGATCGAACGGCAGGAGACATGAGTTCCCAGAGTGAGAGCGGCCGCAAGGATCTGAACAAGGTATTCCAGTGTATCCCAGGCGCCTGCACAAGATCGCAATCCTCAAGTTAATGAATTATGCTCCCAGATGTGTTGCTGTGTGCTTCATGTGGCCGTGGACGGGTGGGGATGCGAGCCTGCTTCCTCCACGTGCGGCTTCGCGAGATTGTCGGAGCGAACTGTGGCGTCAGTACCAGCACGGCATTTTACCCAGGCGGTCCCCTCGCTCATGGAGTGGCATGGTGGAGCGAGAGCCACCGAACAAAGAGGAAGGGGGCCAGGAGCAGAGCACGCGTGGTCGAACCAGGCGGGCAGGCTGGGCGGGCAGACCCTGACGGGCGCGCCGGGAAGTGGGGCCCAGGCGGCCGGGTTGCTGCAGCGTGCGTCCTGCGGGAATGGCGAGGAAGTCTCGAGGGATAGCGCGATTCCCAAGTACATCGTGAGAGAATCCACAGCGAGGGCGTGATTCATGAGTGTCGAGGGCGCGACGTCTGAATGCATTGCGAGGAAGTCCCACGCGAGAGCGCGATTCCTGCATAACTTGCGAGGAAGTCCCAAGCGAGAGCGCGATTTGGGAGTAAGCTGTTAGGAAGTATCAGGCGGGAGCCGTTGTTGTTGTAGTTCGAGGGGCAACAACGCAGTTTTGCGACACGACGCTTTCCCTTTTTAAAGACAGCGTGCGAGCCCTGGGAGGGGCACTTCACTTGACAAAAACAATGGTTACAGGAGGGGGATCAACAATACTTATCTTCAGACATGCAAATTCAATCACAACACCACCACCAATAACAACATCCATCCAGCATCAATCATGCTGATACTGTTCCTGCTTACCTGCTCGCGCGCCAATCCCACACGTCGACCCCAGAACCTCGGTACCCGCCCTCTTCGTCTTCGATGGTACCCCCTCTTGGCGGCAGACCTTCCCCACCTGCCGCGCGTAGCTGGCGCAGCCCCTACACGCAGGGAGAAGGAGAAGGATGGAGCAAGAGAGAACATGACGGGCGGGCGCGGTGTGCTCCGAAACGGCTACAGGGAGGAGGAGGAGGAGGAGGAGGAGGAGGAGGAGGAGGAGGAGGAGGAGGAGGAGGAGGAGGAGGAGAAGGAGGAGGGGGAGGAGGGAGAAGAGGAGGAGGAGGAGAGGAGGAGCAGGGGGAGGAGGAGGAGGAGAAGGAGGACGAGGGGGAGGAGGAGGAGAAGGATGGACCAGCCTGTCGTGTCGGGCGGGCGGACCCTAACGGGCAGGTCGGGCGGCCGGGCCCAGACGGCCACGTCGAGCGGGCGGATCGCCAACGCGTCAACCGATCACGGAGGAAGACTCGAGCGACAGCGCGATTGCCAGGTGAGTCGAGAGGAAATCCAAAGCGTGAGCGTGATTCCTGAGTCTAGTGGGCACGGTGCCCGCATTGCACACCGAAAGGAAGCACCACGCGTGAGCAGAAGTCTTGGATGATTTATGGGCAGATCCCGCGCGAGAGAGCGAATCTGAAATAAGTTGTGGGGGAGTATCCAGCGGGAGCCGCTGTCGTTGTAAACAGGGCGAGGGCGCAATCTGGTGGCCCGAAACTTTCCCTGATAAGAAAAACCGGGTGCGAGCCCGGGAGGGAACACATCAATGGAGACATATAATGGTCACAGGGGGGGACCCCAACCAGATCTACTCTCCAGGAATGAGAAGTCAACAGCAACAACAGACGCATTTACAACAGAAGCAACAATAAAACAACCCCAACACCAACACAAACAACAAACAACAATGAGTTTAAGACCGTTCTCTCTCATCCGTTCGCGTGCCGTTCACCACGTATATCCCAACCCCTCGATACCCGCCCTCTTCTTCTTCAATCGTGCCTCCCCTGGGGGTACGTATTGCGTGCAGCCCCTGAAGCAGGTGAAGAGAGGACGGATGGAAGGAAGGGACAAGGGGGTAGGAGGAAGATGGAGCACGAGAGAGAGAGAGAGAGTAGCAGGAGGGGGGCTAGGAACAGAAAACACGTTGCAGAACCGGACGGGCAGACTGGGCGGGTAGACCCTAACGGGCGCGTCGGGAAGTGGGGCCCAGGCGGCCAGGTCGAGCAGGCGGGTTGCTGAAGCGTGCGTCCTGCAGGAATCGCGAGGAAGTCTCGAGCGATAGCGCGATTCTCAAGAACATCGTGAAAGAATCCACAGCGAGAGCGTGATTCCTGAGTGTCGAGGGCGAGGCGTTTGAATACATTGCGAAGAAGTCCCACGCGATAGCACGTTTCCTGCATACATTGTGAGGAAGTCCCAAGCGAAAGCGCGCATTGGGAATACATCGTGAGGAAGTATCAGGCGGGAGCCGCTGTTGTTGCAAACTCGGGGCCAACACGAATCATTCTGAGACTCCAATTCTGCCCACATAGAAAAACAGGTGCGAGCCCCGGGAAATGAAACGTCAACTGAAAAAATACAATGTGCCCCTGAGGGGGGATCAACACTACTTATCATTAAGAAATGTCAATTCAGCAATAATTTCAACAATCATAATAAGACTGTTCGCTCTGATCCATTCGCGGTCCACTATACACGTATATCCCACACCCTCGATACCCGCCCTCTTCGTTTTCGATCGTACCCCCCTTGGGGGTATATAACTTTCTTACCTGCAGCGTGTATTGCGTGCAGCCCCTAAGGCAGGGGAAGAGAGGACGTATGGAAGGAAGGGACAAGGGGGGAGGGAGGAGGATGGAGCACGAGAGAGTAGCAGGAGAGGGGCTAGGAGCAGAAAACACGGGGCAAAACCAGACGGACAGATCGGGCGGGTAGGCCCTAACGGGCGTGAGAGGGAGGCGGGCCCAGGCGGCCAGGTCAAGCAGGCGGGTTGCTGAAGCGTGCATCCAGCATGAATCGCCACGAAGTCTTGAGCGATAGCGCGATTCCCAAGTACATCGTGAGGAAATTCACAGCGAGAGCGTGATTCCTGAATGTCGAGAGCGCGAGGACGTCCCGCGCGACAGCGCGATCTGGCAACACATCGTGAAGAAGTATCAGGCGGGAGCCGCTGTTGTGGTAAACGAAAGCGGGAGCCAGGGGCTCAATTTGGTGACACCCTGCTTCCCCTTGAAAAAAAACGGGTGCGAGCCCTGGAAGAAACACTTGAGTTGAAACATGCAATGGTTACCAGAGAGGGGGGATCAACCATACTCATTCTCGTGAACTGGGAACTCAAGAAGAAGAAGAAGCATGATAATAATAGTAACATCAACACCAACAACAACAACAGCAACAGCAACAGCAACAATAACAGCAACAGCAACAGCAACAGCAACACCACCACCACCACCACCACCACCACCAACAACAACAACAACAACAATCCGCACCGCGGAACCTCACTTCAGCCACGCACCCAGGGACAGTGAATGATCGTTCGGCCCCCTCACTCTGACAATCATGGAAAATCAATTGTTGCATGAGGATCAGACTGCGAGAAAGTATATTCGCGCGGCAGCACTGAGTGAATTGATTGAGCGAAGACCAGTCGCTAGAAGCACCAGTAGCCATTCGGAACTGAACTGGTAAAATGGACGAACTACTTGTGGCTGGCTGGAAGAGATCGCGGACATGCCTGACTTTATTGTGGTCACCGGAAGGACCCTGCGCCAGCCGTATTCGGGTTGGACATGTGCCGGACGGTGGGCGCATGGCCAATGCAGCCTGGCATCGCCGAGCATGACGTGCGGAAGTCCGCCTGCGTCCGCTCTGGCACCTCCAGCTCCGCATTAGCCAGGGTCCAGAGCAACTTCGCATTCACCGTGGCTTCTAAGCCACGGCTTTGCGCGCCAAGCCCACGCGGCCGCAGCAGCTCTTGCTCGATCAGGGGGCTCACCAGCCTCGACCTCGCCCGCAATCCCGGGTTCTGAAGCTGGGCCGCGGTGGCCGCAGGGTGGCTGTAGTCGGCGCCCGTGCCCGGGAGTCCTGACATGGAGTCGATGGAATCGTTGCTCCCCGTGGGGGGGCGGCAACCACGCTCCGTGCACTTCCCCGTGCCGTCGCTCCACGACTCCCTGCCGTCGCCGTGCCAGGACACCGACGGCGACCGCCGTGAGGGCGTGCGGCTGTCAGAGCCCTGGTGCCCGCTCCGCCCGCCGCCCCACACCCCCCCGTCGCTGCCGCAGGAGGGCGCCGAGCTCGGCGAGAGGTGGCGGGAGAACGGCGGCCGCAGCCGCGGGGAGCTGCTGGCGCGGAGAAGGCGGGCCGCGGCCCCGCGCGCCGCGGCGGGCTCTTCGCGGAGCCGGCCGTACCCCGCGTAGCCCTCCACGGGCTCCAAGCGCACCCCGCGGCCGCCCGCGCCCGCGGACCGCGGCGGCGCGGGGGAAGCCACGCGGCCGGGGCCGGCGCCGGCGCCGCGGGCCGCGGCGAACTCCTCGCGGAGGCGGCCGTGGCCCGCGTAGCCCTCCACGGGCTCCAGGCGCAGGGCAGCCGCGCGCGCCGGCACGCCGAGCCCAGCGGTGCTCGTGTGGCCAGAAAAGCCTGATCGGCCACCGTGCCCCCTGGCACGGTGGAGGCGTGGAAGAATGCCGAGCGGGCGCCGACTTTACACGATGCAGCGCAGCGACCGTGCGCGGTGGCCTACGCGGGCCGCCAGCGTGGCACACCGCGTGGACAGGAGGGCGCGCACGCGCGGCCTTGCGCGGGGAGCGTACGCGCGAGTGTGCAGTCGACCCCGCTTCCCCCGTCGTGCAAATGCCGCCTGCTTGATAAAGACCCCATCCGGCCCCCGAGGTCTGCCAGATGCCCGAGGTGTCACACGCGACGGCCCCCGTGCCTTGTCGAGTGGTCGCCGCCCAGAACGCTCGGCTGACACGGCGGCGGGACTTGCCGCAAGCAGCTGGACACGTGTTTCGGGGCGCGGGCGAGCTCGCCACGGCCAGCCGCCATGGCGCGCGCCACGAAAGGGGCCTCTGCGGTTCGTTGCATGGCTGGGTCTCGAAGACTGCCTCTGGGCAACGGCAAGGGCCAAACCGGCTACGGATGATACTCATGATGATGGCCCTTCCCCCAATTCAGAGAGCCGGACGTGATGGATCTTGTGGTGGCGGTGGTGATGACCCTGAGCACCATGATGAGATTGGTTGAATTTATCCCAACGGACCGATGATGGCGCCCATGTTTGCCGATGGCCAGTAGCTCCGTACACTGCAGCATGTAATTCCTCAGCGCCAGCACGCGTATTCCAATGAGGATATCTAATCAGAAGCCAAGCGCGCGACCAGCCACGCCAACTCCCGACGGCCCCTGGGCCGACGAGAGAAAGAAACAGAGAGAGAGAGAGAGATAAAGAGAGAAATTGAATAGGAACGCGCGCACGCATCTTACCCTCCCAATTTGATTGTTCGAAGTGGGATGCGACGGGGCGCGCTCGCAACGCTCGTGTGCCAGCCCCCTCCACCCTGCCTCGGCTACGCCCGAGAGCGAGCCCCCTCCTCGCCTTCACCCCCACGCCGCACCCTCAAAAGGGGTAAGATGACATGCGTCGTACTGCCCCGCGGACGCCTCGCTGCGCGATTATACGCGAACGGCGACGGCAGCGAACAACCAACGACAGACGATTACAAACGGGCGGGGGAAGACGAACGACGAACGACAACCGACGAACGATGACGACGAGCGACGGACGATGAACGGTGAACGACGAACAGCGAATGGTGACAGGGACGACGGCCGTCGACGGACGGCGAACGACGACGCCTTACGGACGACGAGCGACGAGCGCCGAACGGCGCCGCACATGCGGGCGCATCGCAACGCGACCACTGCGCGTTTTTTTTGTTGGTGTTTTTCTTTTTGTTCATCCCTCCCCCGAACTCCACTTGTAACTAATAATCCCACCAGCCCTTTAGGGCGTGAGTGGTCTAAAGATGCTTGGTTAATATATCCTCTGGTGTAGTCCTTGGCGGCGTCCGCCGGGCAAGTTAACAAATCCTCTGGTCCAAAATCAGACGAAATATCTGTGTCTGAAGTCAGGGGCCTGCACAAACAGTTGATCGGCTTACTCGGGATATCCCCAGGCCGCGCCAGGGCTCCTCGGGCGCGGCCTCCCGCGCCGCGCGACCTTTTCGCGCGGGGGTCGGCGCGCGCGGCGCCGGGCGGCCTCCTCGCGCGCCCGCGTGGCCCTCGAGCGCGGAGGGGAAGGACTCGCGCGCAGCCTCTGCGAAAAAACCTCGGAGCGCAGACTCTAGCGCCGGGGTTGGGCGTGGCTTAATTCGTGGGGGGGTCATAAATGGGGGGGTCAGAAACGGTCCCCTTTCGTGCCCCTCTGGAGCCCCTCTGGAGCCCCAGGGGGCTCGTTTACTAGGGCTCCCAACTTCGCGCTTCGCGCTGCGCGAAGCGCGAAGCGCGAATAACTTCGCGCTCTCGCGCCGCCCTCCCAAAGGGAGAATAGGAGGACGAGGAGGAGGGGGAGAAGGAACGAGGACCGCGAAGCGCGAAGCGCGAATAACTTCGCGCCCTCGTGGGAGCCCTTAGTTTAGGTACCGTTTGGGTACCTTTTCGGACCACCCGCGACACCCCCCCATTTATGACCCCTCCATTACGCAACGCCCAACGCGGTCGGCGCGCGGCGCCGCCGGGCGGGCTCCTCGCGCCACGGGGCAGCGCCCGAGCGCACGCAGAGGGAGGCCTCGCGGCGCCGCGGCGCCAGCGGCCTCGGCACACGGAGTGTCCCGCGGGGGCCGGCGCGCGGCGCCGTGCGGCCGCCTCGCGCGAAGCGTCGGAGAGGTCCTGCGAGCGCAAGTTCGCGCGCGGGCGTCGGCGCGCGGCGCCACGCGGCGCCCTCGCGCGAGTCGGCAGCGCTCGGGCCTTCGAGGGGGAGGCTCGCGCGTCGCGTCGGCGGGGTGCTCGGCGCCGTGGCCTCGAGCCGCGAAGCGCCTCGCTGCGCGACTGGACGCGCGCGCTCGCGCGCGGGTGTCTCCGCGCATGCGCTGCAGACGCGCTGCGCATGCGGGCGCATCGCCACGCGACGCCGCGCGGGGGGACGGTGGGAGAGCAGGAGAAATGTGGCTGCTCTCTCGGCGTCCGTCCGGCCGCGTCGACGGGGGCTTCCTGGGTGCTTTCTGTGGCTTCCTGTGGGCTCCTGTGGCTCCACTCACGCTTTCTCGGGGGCCATCGAAGGCCTCCTGATGCTTCCCGAGGCTTCCTGCGGCCTCTTTGAATTTCCTAGGGCGTCGGGAGTGCCTTGAGGCGCCTGGGAGCGTCTGGGGCGCTTGGGGAGCGGCTGGGGCCGCCTGGGGCCGCCTGTTGCGTGTGGAAGCGTCTGGGCGTGTCTGGGAGCGCCTGGGGCCGCCCGGGGCCGCCTGGGGGGCACCTGGAGGAGGAGGAGGAGGAGAAGGAGGAGGAGGAGGAGGAGAAGGAGGAGGAGGAGGAGGAAAGGAGGAGGAGGAGCGCCTGGAAGTCTGGGACTCCTGGGAGCGCCAGCAAGCGCCATGGGCCGCCTGAGGAGCGCCTGGGCGCTCCTGGAGCGTCGCAAGGCCCCCAAGGCGGCTCCTGACGGCGCCAGACGGGCCAGGAGCGCCCCAAGATGGCCAAAGAGGCCTCCGATCCCCCAAAAGCCTCAAAGAGGCCCAAGGAGGCTTCCAAGAGGACTCCGGGAGGCTCACAAGAAGCTCCCAAAGGGCCGAAGAGTCCTCCTCCTCCTCCTCCTCCTCCTCCTCCTCTTCCTCCTCCTCCTCCTCCTCCTCCTCCTGCTCCTCTTACTCCTCCTACTCCGTCTCCTCCTCCGCTTCCTGTTCTACCTCCTCCTCCTCCTCCTCTCCTGCTCCTCCTACTCCTCCTACTCCGTCTCCTCCTCGCCTCGTCCTCGTCTCGTCCTCGTCCTCGTCCTCGTCCTCGTCCTCGTCCTCGTCCTCGTCCTCGTCCTCGTCCTCGTCCTCGTCCTCGTCCTCGTCCTCCTCCTCCTCCTCCTCCTCCTCCTCCTCCTCCTCCTCCTCCTCTCTATGTGTCCTCCCTCTCCTCAGCTTCTTCTCCCCCGCGTGTCACCCGAAAGGTTTCCTCAACGGCTGGGGGAAACGGTCGGATAGTTTGGCAGAGCTCCGGCCACAACGTTCGGCCACATGGGAGATTCCAAAGGGCAGCGGGCGGCGGTGATTCGCCGTAGGCGTCTTCGACAGACTCACATAGAGTATGCTGCATGTGGGGATTCCTGAATGGTGGGATTCCTGGCAAGCAAATGAAGATTGGGTATGGCAGATAAATGCACCACACCACTACAGAAAAACTGTCAGATCCTGGTGGATCGTCTCGAACATGTCGATGAGCTTGTGGACTCGCCTACAGAAAAGGTCAAAGCGGCCGAAGATGAGCGTCTCGCTGAAATCGAACTGCTTGCCTTTCGGAAGCGTCCGTAGCGTTTCCTTCGTGGCATGGTATTGCTCCTGAGGCACGATCTGGATGCAGTGTGGGTTAGAGGGGGGAGAGGAAAAAACACCAGGATCACTAGCGAACCGAATGCCTTGCAGGAACACGCACATAATACATTCATCCGGGCAACTTGAGGTTGAGCCACATGGATCGGATAAGGCTTGGGGCGGAGCCATCGAACGACAATTCCCCTCCACATGCAACTGGGGCCAGGGTACACGAGGAGCTGCAAACGCAACACAGGGTAGAACTAGGCACGAAGCTGAGAAAAGCTGACTCAGACGAGGTTGACTGGACTCGCTCTTCGCGCACATGTCCTGGGACACACACCCGCTAGGAGCAGCTCGCTGCGCATCTGAACTGTGACATACACGCCACCGCGCCGCCGCGCAACCCCCTGGCACGCAGGGGAGCGGTGCGGCCAAGGCTCCCGATCAGGCCTGGCCCGAAGATCGGCCCCAAAGACGCCCGCAAGACGGCCCCCAAAGCATCCCCCAATGCTCCTCTGGACAGTCGCCCTCAACGGCCCTCGGGGCCGCGGGGGACACGACTGTCACGTGCGTCGGCCCTCTGCACACTGGAGGGGAACAGCGGCCGCGTGTTACGACTCTGCGGGGTCTGTCAGAGAGCGTTGCCGCATGTCGCGCCCCTGGGCCCTGAAGAAGACACGGCTCTACAGCCCACTGGCGCCGCGGGCCTGATGCGGCGACCCATGTGGAGCCTGGGGACAACAACTGAGGCCGCCTTCTGCGTGGTCCTCGGGGGATCGCCGCAGCACTTGCCGCGAGCACCTGGGCATAACGAATACCACCAGCCCTTTCGGGCGTGAGTGGTTCAGCTGGTTTCCTCTTCCAGCCCCCATCTTCTCCTTCGGGGACGGGTTTATCACTGTTCCCTCTTGATCAACACCCCCTCCCCCAGGCGACCCAGGCGACCGGCGGCAGCCAACCCGGTCCAATGACCCCCACCCCACCATCCCTGGCCAAAAACAATAGAAGCATTTTGTTGCCTCCAAATCTGGCGCATGCGTGGGAACCCCGCGACCACTTTGCGGTGGTTTTGACGGGGGCAGCGGGGGGGCTGGCGTACTGCTTGCTGCGCGCAGGCCAACCATCCCTGTTAAACAACAATACAAGCATAGACTTTGACTCCATGCATACGCATGGCCCTTTTTTCCTTGAGCTTGCATCTGTTTCGCGACTCCTCAATATGTCGAAATTTCTTCATCGGCGCCAGGGTTCTGCGCTCCCTGGAAGAGCCGCCCTTATCACATAATCCTCGGCACTTCGCGCTTGGGGAGTTCAAGATCCTGAACACTTTGGGGCCAGGGACGAGGCACCTGGGGTCCCGATCGGTTCCCCGTAGTTGGATGGCGCACCTGGCGCGGCTGTGGAACCCGTGGCGCAGTTAGCGCACGTAGAGCACGTGCCGCGCATGGCACGCTTGGGCCTCCAGGGCGCCTGGTGCACGTGGAGCCCGTGGCGCGCATGGCATGTGCGGCGTGCTTAAGCGATCTGCTGACACCCGGGTGCTACCTCTACGTGTTGGTAGGGCGGGTGGGAGTGAGCCAGACGGCCTGCTGTCTAGGAAGGTAGCTTGACCCCTCCCTCTGCCCCTCCCCTAAGGTCTGGAGCGAAGGGTTCGCGCGTCGCGTCCAGGAAGGCCTCGGCGAGAAGGCATCAATCAACGATTGCACTCAGGTTTGACCCCACTTCGGCCTCCTGGGGGGGCACAACCAATTTGCTGGCCCCCCCTTCTTGGATCGATCGTTTCCAAAATGGCCCCACGACGGCCCCCAAGGCTCCCAAGGTGGCCCCAAGAGGCGCCCAGGAGGCATTTCACAGACCCCGAAGAGTCGTGGCCCAAGAGGCCCCCAAGAGGCTCCCAAGAAGCCCCCAAGAGGCTCCTCCAAAACACCGGAAACGCTCCATGACCCCTCGGACCGCTCAGAGGCCCCCAAGACGCCCCAAAAGGGATCCAAGAATGCTCCTCCACATCGCTGACCAGGGCAACTCACCTGGACATCGTCTCTGGATTGGCGGGTGGGGTTACTTTTTTGTTCGCGAGCGCGCAGGGGTGCCAGGCGCCGTCCAGAAACGCGGCTAACAAGCAACGGCCTAAATTCCGCACAAGAGCGCACAGGAGCGAAGCGTCTAGCATTTGTAGTCACGACTTGAACTTGATCCCGTTTGGAGGCGGCCAAGGGGTCTGAACTGGATGAAACTCGAAAGACTCGGTCAAGAAGGGAGCAGGGCAACTCAATTCAAAAAACGGTCCCCGGACCTCTTCCGGGGTCCATCTGGGGCAATTCTCCACCCCAGATCCGTTCTTGACGGCCCCGGAGGCCGACAACGGCCCCGGGGAGCAGGAAAAAACAAAGCGCCTTATCCCAGAGATCCAATGTCGTGTTTTTTTCAACACGGGGTCCCCGGAGGTCCCGACCCCTTCCCCGGAACCAGTTTTTCATCCTGAGCCGCTTTGTTGACAGTCCCGGGGCCCGGAGAGGGCCTCTAAAGGCCGAAAAGGGCGAAGAACCTCCGTCTTGATTTTCTCAATTCGCTGGAGCTCCAGGTTCGACCCCAAAACCTCGATCCTGGCCCGCTTCTCCTGCTCGCCGAAACCAGTGACCAGTGCTGGGCCACCTCCCCCGCCCAGCCGACTCCAAGATCCCACACGCCTGCGTGAACAGACAGCCGACCTGCCTGCCCGACCATCCGGGCCTGCACTTGCACACTGCGGCCAGCGCAAGCATACGGTGGAGGCCAGTCCACAAGAGCCCTTCCACAAGAAACCCAGCCCTGAGACCCCAGGACGTCCATGGGATTTTGGGTGTGGAACGTCGCGCTCTCCACAGCAAAAAACCATCGGCACCCAAGAAAAGCAGGGCACCCTGGAGGCGAGCCAGGCGTTTCTTGGCATGGGCCCCCACTGTAGACAATCGACCTGCCTGCCTGACCATCCCAGCCCGCGCTGGTACACTGCGGCCCGCGCAATAAGAGCGCGGTCGCTCTGCCGCGCCGGACGGCTCTCTCCTGGTAAGCCTCGTTCAGCTTCAGGCAGGCCTCCAGGTTCTTGATCAGCTCCAGGGGGCTTTTCTGCCACAGGCTCTCTGGCTCGTCCCCATCCAGCACGCACTTCTTGCAGTTCGCGATCATCTCGGGGCATTTGTTGCACGTCGGGCCTGCTGTGGCGTAGGGCTCGTCCGCGCAGTGCTGATCCCCAAATCGCCACACAACGCTCCAGCAACCAGGCGTACAACACAAACGCGCGCGCCTCGAGCACGAATCGTGCAATCTCAGAACATGCACCGTTGTCCGCACACGCTCGCATGTAAACGTCCGTGGCCGTGTACATGCACGGTGCGCAGGCGTGCTGCTGCACTGGGTATGTGATAAAGCTGGCGATCAAAAAAACAGAGGAACGCCATGGAAGAGGAGAGCTGGAAACCGACGCTGTGGGCGACGACGAGAGCAAGAACATCACCCTGGCGAAGGACCCAACCGCATGCAGCTGTTAGTACCGTCGTTGCGGGTATCGCCTTCGAGGGATCGCCCCCGCCTAGACCTAGAGAGCCTAAGCGGCCTCCGAGATGACCTCCTGATGGCCTATAAGAGTGGCCCCAAGACGGCCCCAAGAGGGGCCAAATGGCCTCCGGGACGGCCTCGCAGCGCCCCGAGAGGGCCTCACGTCGGCCCAAGAGGCCCCCACGTCGACTGCCGAAGGCGCCAAACGAGCCAGGAACGCCCAAGACGAGCGGAAATTGCACAACGCCCGCCCCCATGAGGTCCAAGGAGGCCTCCAAGAGGCATCCAAGAGGCCTCCATGAGGCGCCCAAGAGGTTCCTCAGAGGCCGCCAAGAAGCTTCCATGATGCCTCTGAGAGGCCCCAAGAGGGCCCCAAGAAGCCTCCTCTTCCTCCTCCTCCTCCTCCTCCTCCTCCTCCTCCACTCGCTTCCTGCCCAAAGTGTTCCCCCAATGGTGCCCACAGTGGCTGGGGAGCACATAATCCAATATCTTGGCCAAGCTTGGGCCCAGCCTTTGCACAACACTAACACAATGGCGCACTGGCCCGAGCCACCGCGCGCAAACACCAGGACATGAATGACAAGACAACGGCTGACGAAAGCGACACCGGGCAGATGGTACGAGAAGCTGGCTGCACGGGCGGTGGAAGTAGAACGGAAGCGAAACGAAACAAGCACGATCCCATCGTGCAGAAACTGGGCGTTTCGTGTCGGGGAAGGCTCCCATGAACGGCAACATACAGAAAGGCCAGGGGCGGCGGTGATTCGCTGTAGCCGTCTTCGATCCGCCGCCCCCCTCTGCTTCTCAAAGGAATGTTCGGATATGCTTTCTGGCTAGTCCTACAAAATTTCCAGTGGCCTTCGGCCGACCCCACCGGCCCCGGGCGAACTAGAAAGTCAAAACAAATCGCCACCAAGATGGCCAAGATGTCCCGAGAATGGCTTCAAGACGGTCCCACGAAAGGCCCTCCAGACGGCCCAAGAGAGCTCCAAGAGGCCCTCCAGGAGGGTCCGAAGAGGCTCCGGATTCAAGAGACGGCCCAAAAGGCCTCCTTTGCCTCCTTCGCCTCCTCCGCCGCTCTCCTCCTCCCCCAAATGCTCTCCAAAGGGTTTTCACAACGGCTGGGGTAACACATAGTCCAATACCTTGACCAAAAAAAAGCCACATCGCTATTTTCCAGAAGGCAGGGGGCGGCGGTGGTTCGCCTTGAGCGTTTTCGATACTTCTGCTGCTGAGACTATGTTTAGGCCTGCTGAGCCTTGAGAGCTGAGTTGCCACATCTATATATACATATATATATATGTATAAATGCCAGCGTGGACCCGAAGCAGCATTGTCTGCCATCATAGCGCACCAGCCATATCTAGAGCATCAGTCACACAGCACCAGCCAGCAACCAGAAATCGCAGCAACACAATCGTGCACCAACCAAACATCGCAGCACATTTCTGATCATAGCGCACCAGGCGTCCATCAAAGGCATCATAAGGTACCAACCATTGATGACGGACCGACAACACACACACACATACCCAGAAAGGGGATCGGAGATTGGAAATGGATAGGGTTGCGGGTTGTCGGACACAGAGAGGCTCCCGTTCGAGCGGGGACCCCCATCCGACAACACGCACCTGTAGCCCCCTCTGTCCACCCTATGGGTGTGGGTGCGCGTTTTCCATTCGTCAATTGAACATCTCCCAGATGAGCATCTCTGCAAGAGCACGGAATTCGCAGCCATCGAAGGCACCACATGCCCCCAACCACCCAGCACATCCCGGAAAAGCACCAGGGCAAGATATACGAAGCAACGCAGCCAAGAAAGACGTCACAGAGCACCAGCCACAGAGCAGTACCCACAGATCGCCAGTGCAAAAAATCGCGAACACTGCACCCATCAAGACGCCATGGGCAACCAGCCAAAAAGCACCACCCGTAGAGCACCAGGGCAAGGCCGCGAGACTGGAAGCCACCTGCTCGAATGGCACGCACATGTAACGAAACACAAAGGGGCAACACACACACACACATACACACACGTGTATATATATAACAATGTAAGGAGGCGGCAACAACAACCAAAGACGGTGGCAGATGCAGAAGCATCGACAAACACGTGGATGGACGACAACGGAGGGGGGAATGCGCATAGGTGAGCGGATCAAGGGGACGGGACTGGGGACCACAACGGGGAGCGAACAAACTTAGCTGCACGACTGCGGCTTCTGAAAAGAAAACGGGTTCCTGCTTCGTAATCTTCGCGAACAGGTTGGTCATCCTCTCGGTAGTGTTGTAATACCGGGCGATTGTGTGGATCATCTGCAGGGACACTTTATGACAGGAGGAGGAAGAAGAGCAAGAGGAGCAGGAGGAGGATGAGGAGAAAGAGGGGGTTATGCCGCTTCGCTTCCTGTGCGCTGCGACCTCCAAATGGAAGGGGCTACGGAGCCCTGGCCCACCGTCCACATTTCTTCGGCGGCAGACTTGCCCGTCCACTGCCTCTGCCCACTCATGCGAATACCGTCCAGACTGTCCCTCATCACTCACATCATTAACCCCAAGAAGTAATCAAGAACACCCCCGGGGACTCCTCCTCCTCCCTCCTCCTCCTCCTCCTCCTCCTCATCCTCCCCCTCCTCCTTCTCCTCCTCCTCCTCATCATCCTCCTCCTGCTGCTGACGGCGGGTGCCGCGCTATCGCTCCCCGTTGCGGGAAGTTTTATCCCCTTGCCGAGGGGGAGGGGGCCTTAACTACCTCTTGAGGTTCTCGCCTCTCCTCCCGCACCCGCGCACGCGAACTGCACCTGCCCCGAGGGAGCACAAAAGAAAGGAGCGCGCGTGTTGCCCTGAGCCTCCGGCCTCTCCCGGCCGTGCCTCCGCGGGGGCGCGCCTACGTCACGAGGGCGAGGGGCGGGAGGGCGAGGGGCGGGCGGGGGCATGGACAGGCGGCAGCAGGGGCTGGCGGCGCCTCCCAGCGCAGCCGCCCTGCGGAAAGCGCGGCACCACGGCCGCAGGGATCGACCCTAAACGGTGTCTTCCGTTTTCGTGCCGTTTTCGCTTCCCCTCGCTCTGTCTCGGGGTGCGCCCTTGCTGCAAAGCGACATCGAAGCGAACACGGCCCACAGGATCGCCAAAAAACATTGCTTCGGTCGCTCCCTCCACGGCCGCAGGACCGCCGTGCCGTGTGTGCTGGCCGGGGCGCGCCAGGGCGCGCCTCTGCGAGGCCCTCGGGGCCCGCCTGCAGCGGGTCAAGGCGCGCGCCTGGGGGGCGCGCCGCGCCTGGCGACCTGCAGTCGGAGCAGGGGCCAACGACTCGCCCTCTCTCTCTCTCTCTCTCCGCCGCCTGCTTCTCGGGTGGCATGTGCTGTGGTGAGGCTTTTGCGGTGGTGCTTGTTTGCGGCGGTGCTTGTTGTGGTGCTTCGTGAGCGTTTTTTTTTCAACGTTTCGACATTGGGCGGAAGTGGGGGGGGAGGGGGGGGGTCTGGCTCCGGACCTCTGCTTAGTGCGACTGGTTGCAAACGTGCGCCCCATGGGGGAGACTCCACCTGCTTGAAGGAGGCGCCCAACACAGCCAAGATCTACTCCATGGGAGGGGGGGGAGGAGGGTGAGTCAGGGCCCGCGCCGATCGGCAAAACGCTGCATAACAAAAACGATCACCTTGCGGTGGTGCTTGTTTGCGGCGGTGCTTGTTGTGGTGCTTGTTGTGGTGCTTCGAATGGTGCTCGTTGTGTTCGTGGCGGTGCCGGTCCTGGTGCTGGCTGGTGCCGGAAAAGATGACGATGCGATGGCGGCAGTGGCGGCGGAGGCAGGGCAAGCGCAAAAGGCTCATCGCGCGGGACTGGCAGGCCCTCTCCCGCCGTGCCGTGCGTGCCCCCCTCCCACCTCCCCCCCCCCTTGACCACCCTCCCCAGACCCCTGACGTCATCTTGTTCTCGCGGCGTGGACTCCTAGATGTCTGGACGCTGCAGTAGGAGCCCGACCATAACAAAAAAAACCCAACGAAAAACCCAACCCTGAGACCCCAGACCGTCCATTGATTTTTGGGGTGGGAACGTCACGCTGTCCATAGCGAAACCATCGAAATCCAAGAAACCCAGGGCACTCTGGAGGCAAGCAACATGTTTCTTGGCATGGGTCTCCACTGTAAATGGGCCCCAGAAACGGCAAGGCCGTTTTTTCACCGTTTTCGAAAACGTGCCCCTTAAAAATTGAAACGGCTAAAAAAAAAAACGGCGACTGGAAACGGAAACAAAACGGCTCCGGGACTGGAACCACAACCAGAACCCCAAAAAAACGGCGACGAAATCGGCAAAAAAACGTCGACGGAACCAGCAAACACACGGCAAAACGGAACTGGAAAACTAGGGCCCACTAAGGTCTGGACCCCTTCCCCAAGACTGGCTTTTCGAATCGTTTTTCGACAGTCCTGCGCCCCGGCGAGGGTCCTGGGAGGCCAAAAATATCACACAAACCTTCGTTTTGATTTCATCACGGCGCGAGGGGGTCTGGGTCCCTCTGTGCCCCCCCCATCGTCTTCGTAAGTCGTCCATCGTCGTTCGTGTCGCGTCCGGCAAAGTGTTTGTTTCGCAGGGCGCCCTCGCCTTGATCGCGTTCATGAGCGCGGGGAGCGTGTCGATAATTGCGGAGGGCGTACTCGTGTACAGCGGGTCGATGAACTTCTCCAGCGTCGTGAGGTACTTGACGTTGTCCTTGGCCTCGTTGTACGCCTGGGCTGGAGGCTTGCCGCGGACGCCACCCCTGCCGAGCATGCCACTTCTGCCACCTCCTCCTCCGCCTCCTCCTCCTCCTCATCGACCTCTTCCTCCTGGACCTCCTCCTCCTCCTCCTCCTCCTCCTCCTCCTACTCCTCCAGCTCCCCCTCCTCCTCCTCCTCCTCCTCCTCCTCCTCCTCCTCATCCTCCTCCTCCTCCTCCTCCTCCTATTCCTCCTCCTCCTCCTCCTCCTCCTCCTCCTCCTCCGACTCCTAATAGTCTCCGCCTCCACCTTCTCGACCTCCCCATCAAGCCTGGAGAACACCCGAGAACCTGCTATGACCTCGCAGGACCCCTCAGATCCGCCCCTTACAGCTACCCCCCCCAGAACCTTGAAGGACAACATCCTCCAGTCATCATCTTCCCTGGACCGGACGTTTCGCTTCGGGTTCATTAAACACTATGCCCGAAACTTCATCTTCTAACACTGACACTGCTGGAGGGCCAGTAGGTTTACCAAATGTTGCTTTTGCATGCGGCCGCGCAATTCTGAACCTTTCAACATCTGCACATATGGAGGCCAATCAATCGGTTTAACAGACTTGGGCCGCGCAGATTCCTCTTAAACGTCTCCAACAAAAGCACGGATGGAGGCCTGCACGTTTTCCAAATGCGGTTCTCGCCTGGGATGCCCTCGCACAAATATTAGGTCGGGCACGCCCCCCTACAGGCGAATTTCGGAAGCCAAATAACGGATAGTCCACCAATCATTAAACATAGTCCAAGGAGCAGGAAACATTGTGACCAGACCATGCTTGTACTAGTCTTGGGTACTCGGCCTGTAGAGGGACATGCCCGACTGAACACAAGATGCCACTCGGCGGTGGACAAACCTCCCTTTAGTAGACCTCCCCTTAGTGAAAACGGTCTGGGACCGAAACCAACGGACCTTGACGCGCAAAAATGACGGACGCGACGCCCTCTCGCGAACCGAAAACGGCCAATTCCTCAATCGACGTGTTAGGGTAGGAGGTCTGTCCATCCCGGATCCACACAGTGCCCCGGGGAGAGGCAGCAGCTCTCCCGCCCCCTGGCTGCGGAAGTAGGCGAACCGCGCGGCTCCTCGCGCCCATGCGTGGGGGACCAGGAGCAGCGCTCGAAGTGCGAGGCAGGGACCTATCCTGAGCTTGGGCATGTCCTCCTACGGGCGAATTTCGGAAGAACCATAGAATCCAGTCAACAAGTACTCAGTACATGGTCATACAAAATATGCAAATCACCCCCTGACTGTTTTTTTACTATTTTGAAATTTTCTCCTCCCGAGTAGCGGGGCTTGCCCGACGCATGACTTCTCCATGGCCACTGCCCAGGGGCACGTCCTGGGACCCCTGCGGGCCGTGGACATAGACACGCTTTGGCCCTAGGGGGCCCGAGCACACACACAAACACACACATACACATATATAACATATAATATAATATCAAAGAATATAATATAATATAATATAATATAATATAATGTAATATAATTTCATATAATATAATACAATAAAATATAATATAATATGATATAATATAATATAATATAATATAATATAATATAACATAGTATAATATAATATAATACAATATAATATGATATAATATACTCTACTATAACATAATATAATATAATATAATATAATATAATATAATATAATATATAATTTATGTATATATATATATATCTTTTCGCGGGCTGCCGATGTCCCAATCGGTGGTTATGGATGCGAGAAGATCCCCGCCTCGGAAGAAAATGTGCAAACCACATCCTCGGCCTGGCCCGGCTCGGCGCCGGTGCGCAGCCGCCTACCGCCGAGACCGCCGCGAGAGGGCGCCTCGGTGATGGCGATGTCGATCTGCTTCCACCGCCTGAGCGTGTTGAAGACCTCGCGCGCAGCGAGCGGCGCGCAACGAGCGGGGGCGATCGCCCAAACCCCAAGGCTGGGCAGGTTGGCGCTAGGCATGAAGGGGCGAAAGAAGTACTTCTGCGGTCCGGTTCGCAATGACGTCTGCTTTTGCTGCCAGGCCTCTTCATTCTCTCCGCCAGGATCCCTGACGCCACATCTCCCCCCCCCGTCTCCTCCACACAGCTCTCTCCAGTCCCTTCTCCCACTCCTCCTTCTGCCTATGCTCCTCCACCTGCTGCTGTCGGCGCTGCCACTCCTCCTCCTCCTCCTCCTCCTCCTCCTCCTCCTCCACCTACTCGTCCTCGATCTCCTCCTCCTCCTCCTCCTCCTCCTCCTCCACCCTCTCATCGCTCTTCCTTATGAACACCTCCCCCTGTCTCGCAACACCAGACGTGTCCGTAGGCCAAGCATGGCATCTCGCTTGAGACCCCCTTAGACATGTGAACACGGATGGAGGCCTGGCCGTTCTCAAAACTGCGGCTCTCGCTTCAGCGCCGCGCACGCTCGTTCTGAAAGCTCACGCCAAACACAAATGGAGGGCCAGTCGCGTTCAACGTGCGGCTCTCGCCTGAGCGCCTCGCATACTCGGTTCAAAAAAGTTTCCAGCCACTACACTGCACGGATGGAGGGTCGGCGCTTCTCAAAATGCGCCTCTCGCCATCGCGCCGCGCGCATTGGCTCTAGACCTCTCCAGAGACTGCAGGAATGGAGGACAGCTCGATCTCAAAATGCGGCTCGCCTGAGACGCCTTCACAATCCATGACCTAAAAAATCCAACATGGATCCGACGAACGGAGGTTGGCTTCTTTTCAAACTGTGCTCTCGCGTGAGACTTATGTGACTTGTATGGCCAGGACTTTCACACTGAACAGCACGTGCACGGATTGAGGGCAGGCCATTCTCAGAACGGGAATATCGCTTGATACTTCCTTGGACTTCATCGTCGTACCTGTATGCGCTTCTCTTAACCAGCAGGATGGTGGATCCTCTGCAAACAGGATCTCGCCTGAGTGGCTGGAGGGTGGATTGCAGCATCACTGGCGCATCCTGGGTTTACTCTGGTCCTCCTCCTCACGCACCCCCACTCATCCTTCTGGCTCCTCCTCGTCCTCCTCCTCCTCTTCCACCTTTCCTCCTCCCTTCGCCTCGCCTCGCCCCCTTCTCCTACCCAGATTCGATCTCCTTCGCGTCCGCTCTTGCTTTGTTGCTCCTTCTCCTCCTCATCCCCGTCCCCCTCCGCCTCCTCCTGCTCCTGCTCTTTCTCCTGCTGCTCCTCCTCCTCCTTCTTCTCCTTCTCCTCCTAGCTCTCCTTCTCCCATGCTGCTGGAGGTGGTGCTGGTGGCGCCGTCGATGCTGTCGCTGCTGCTGCTCCTGCTTCCCCTCCCACTCCCCCCCCTCACTGGAAACTCTGGCAGGTGGACGGGGCGCGAGGCTGCGAGGAAGGAGTGAGAGAGAGAGAGAGAGACAATAGAAAACGATGGAAAAACAGCACACAAATCGGAGAGAGTGACAGAGAGAGAGAGGGAGAGGGAGAGAGAGAGAGAGAGAGAGCAAGAGAGCACGATACAAGGCGGATAACAAGCATGCAAGCAGGCAAGAAGACACACAAATGAAAGAGCAGCGGACACAGAGGCTCAAGAAACAAACAAAGAAAAGAAGGGGGACGGCGGGGTGAGGATGGAGGAGAGAGGGAGGAGAGAGGAGAAAGAGAGAAAGAGCGAGAGAGAGAGAGAGGCATACATACATACATACCTAGCTACCTACATACAGATACACATGCACATGTACAGATACACATGAATATGAGAGAAAGAGAAAGAGAAGGGACACAGAAGAGGGGGAAAGGAATGCCTGGACTCAGGCTCGGTGTACCAGAGGGCGTATGCACCGATCCACCGACCCTGGGCCAAAGATCGGCCTGGCCAGGATTAGTGCCGGTGAAATCTTGGCGGATAGTCCGCAAACCTCCGACATCTCAGGATAACTCAGGAAGCCAAGGAAAGCATCCGAACCAGCAGAAACCAGGCGAACACCTGATCGAAATTCAAGCTACCAACATACAAAAACTCAACGAGTGGATTCGAAAATGAGAACCGTGGAAGACAATTTCAATTGAACACCGCCGAAAGCGGGCGAGAGCATCAGGCACAAGCTGGGAGAGCACCGACCGCCTCCGCTTACATTTCCAGCAAGGCCCCCGAGACGAGCAGCACAAGCACCACCACCCAACACCGACGACGACGCCGGCGGCGACGCCTGCACGAGTACGCCGTCGACGACGACAGCACGGTCACGTTGCGGACGCGAGCACGAGCTGGAGGAGCCAGAAAGCGCACGCCTAAACATACGCTGTGATTAAGGTCCGCGCGGATTTCTCGGATCTGCACTGAGTACAACACGTCAGCTCAACGATTAGGGAGCGATCCTGCGAAAACGCTGATCGGCCTACGCCGAGCGCCACCCCGCGGTGCCGGCTTCCGGTGATCGCGCGGCGGTGGGCGGGAGGGGAGGAGAGGGGGGGGGGGGGGCTGGCGTCGAGAGGGGTCCTGGCTGCAGGAGCGTTCGGAAGGTTCGGGAAGAGGGGTCGGCCATTCCCCCCCGCGGTTTAGCCGGCGGCTTGCGGATGCTTCCAGAGCGATGTCTCACGCGCGAGAGAGGAGGGGGGGAGGAGACATGAGGGAGCCGGGAGGCATCGCCTTCTGGGCGTGGGACAAGGGGGGGACAAGGGACAAGGGCGGGGGACAAGGGATGCGGCGGGGGACAAGGGATGCAATGCGGCGGGGGACAAGGGATGAGACGCGAGGGCGAGGGCTGAACGTGGGGAGGGAAGGGAAGGGAGGAGAGAGCCAGGGCGAGAAAATAGAAGGAGGACGACGACTGGGAGAGGAGAGGAGAGGTCCGATCCTTTGCCCAGGTGGTGGTAGAACGAGGCAGGAACGAGCGGACGCAGGAGGG